GAGGAGAGGAGAGGAGAGGAGAGGAGAGGAGAGGAGAGGAGAGGAGAAAATAAAGTAACTATATTTCAAAACATTTAGTGAGAGGAGTGGCACTGTTATATTTTTGGCAAATCTCTTCAGTGTCTGGTTCAATAGGAGACAGCTGGATTCTTGTGGCTGCTCCTACATTTGGTCTGTTGCGATATCCCCTGCCCCGTGGCCTCTGGAAATCTCCACTGTATACTCATGAGAGAAAGTGAAAAGGGCTAGTAATATCTTAGCATTATACGCAAATAGTTTTGACCTCATGGACACCCTAAAAGGGTCTTGGAGACTCTCCAGGGTGTCCTGGGCCACGCTTTGAGAACCACTTAAAGGGTGAGCTTCAGTATACAGGGGGCCTGGGGGAGGGTGGAGGATGAGGTCAGGGATGGGGTGCATGAGGACGGAGAAGAGAGAGACTTCAAGAGACAGCCATCCACAGAGAGAGGTAAGGATGGGAGGGACTTTGTAGAAAAGGCAAGGCAGACAGACGGATAGATGCACAGAGGGGGCCAGTGATCCTTTGCTGACCAGCAGAGTAGAAACTCACTGACCTCTCCCCTTGTGTCCTTCTTTCCTTGCAGGTCTACTCACCGGTGACCCCAGTGCCCACCATGGCCCCCCTCAACTCCTACATGACCCTGAACCCTCTGAGCTCTCCCTACCCCCCCGGGGGGCTCCCTGCCTCTCCGCTGCCCTCAGGACCCCTGGCGCCCCCAGCCCCCGCGGCACCCCTGGGGCCCACCTTCCCGGGCCTGGGTGCCAGCACTGGTGGAGGCAGCAGCTCAGGGTACGGGGGCCCGGGCCCGGGGCTGGTGCACGGGAAGGAGATGCCAAAAGGCTACCGGAGGCCACTGGCCCATGCCAAGCCGCCATATTCCTACATCTCGCTCATCACCATGGCCATCCAGCAGGCGCCGGGCAAAATGCTGACCCTGAGTGAGATCTACCAGTGGATCATGGACCTCTTCCCTTACTACCGGGAGAACCAGCAGCGCTGGCAGAACTCCATCCGCCACTCCCTGTCTTTCAACGACTGCTTTGTCAAGGTGGCGCGCTCCCCAGACAAGCCAGGCAAGGGCTCCTACTGGGCCCTGCACCCCAGCTCAGGTAACATGTTTGAGAATGGCTGCTACCTGCGCCGCCAGAAGCGCTTCAAGCTGGAGGAGAAGGTGAAGAAGGGGGCTGGGGGGACGTCCACCTCCAGGAACAGTGCAGGGTCTGCTGCCCCGGCCACCACGCCTGCTGCCACGGTCACCTCTCCCCCCCAGCCCCAGCCTCCACCGCCTGAGCCCGAGGCCCAGGGTGGGGAAGACGTGGGGGCTCTGGACTGTGGCTCTCCCCCTTCGTCCACCCCCTACTTCGCTGGCCTTGAGCTCCCAGGGGAGCTGAAGCTGGATGCACCCTACAATTTCAACCACCCCTTCTCCATCAACAACCTGATGTCGGAACAGACACCAGCACCTCCTAAACTGGACGTGGGGTTTGGGGGCTATGGGGCAGAGGGTGGGGAGCCTGGGGTGTACTACCAGGGTGTCTATTCCCGCTCTCTGCTTAACGCATCCTAGCAGGGGCGTGGGAGCGTGGTGGGTGGGGTATGGCTGTAGCTCCCACCATCTGGCCCTTGGGGCCTGACCCACCTGGTGACACTTTGCTTGTCCCGTCAGTTAACATCTTGGCTGGTCTGTTACTGTGGTGACTGCTGTCTCTGTGGGCATCATGTCTATCCTTTGGGTACTGTGATGACTGCCATCGACATGGTGGTGGGCCCGCTGGGTGTTACAAAGACTGCCGTATTGATCGATGTTATAAGTTGATCCATTGGGTGCTCTGATGGCTGCCATCTTGGATGACATTTTAGTTGGCCCTTTGGACATGGTGATGGACGTCCTCTTGACTGACCCTTTGCATGTGATGGTGATACCATTGCAATTACAACTTCTTTGGCCCGTTGGGGGCTGTGATCCCTTCTTTCTTGGGGAACTTCTTGGCATAGGAGATGCCAAGTTGGCCAACATCCTGCATAACATCTTTATTTGGCCCATTGGGTGCTATGATGGCCACTATCTTGGTTGGCTGACATTACCAGTGCACCCTTGTGCACCATGACGGCCATCACAGCCCCTGTGTTGACCATGTCATCACCATCTCTTTGGTGCGAGTTGAGTGAGGAATGGAGGTGAGAATATCCCTTGTTTTTTTTTTTTTTTCGGGAGCCTATTCCCCCTCTCTGGTCCAGGAGAATCCAGAAAGGACTGGCTAGGGTGTGGGAAATTTCTACTGAAATCTGGTTCTTGCCTGGGAAGCGGGATACTGGCTGTGTTTGACCATTAAAGGCACTGTTTCTGCCTCTCGTTGAATGTCTCGTTTCCTTGGCCGGCGGGCCCTGTGGGGCTTGAACACCTGAATTGTCGTTTCCCTGTCCCCCAGGAGCTGGCTGCCTCTGGGGGAGGGGCTGGGGGAGGCATCGACCTGACCTTTGGCTCTTTGCTGTCCCTGACCCCAAGGACAGTTTGCTCATAGATAGCAGCCCCCGCAGCAGTGGGGCCAGGGCAGAAGGGGGAGGTGGCTCTGCAGTGACCAAGGCCATCTCCCCACCCCCACTCCCCAGACACACACCTCTCGCTCTGGGGCCCAAGGAGCCTAGGGGGCTGCTCAATTTTTGGTTAAGCTGGGGAGGAAGGGAAGGGACAAACAAAGCGTTAATTGAAGGACATGTTGTGTGGGGCTTATCCGTGTGTGGGGGGGTGGGGGGGTGGGCCTGTATTGGTCCTAGGATATTACTGTGCCCACTGAGGTCTCTGTGGTCTGCCTGTTGTTACCTCTGATTGTTACCTATTGTTCATATCCCTCGATTGTGTGGGTTTGCATGTCTGTTCTTACCCTGGGTGCTAACTGTAGGTGTCCTGATTTTGTGGGGTTTTTTAAAATTTTTTTAATGTTTATTTATTTATTTTGAGAGAGAGAGTGCAGGCGGCAGCAGGAGGGGGGGTGGGGGGAGGGGCATGGAGACAGAGAGAGAGAGAGAGAGAGAGAGAGAGAGAGAATCCCAAGCAGGCTCCACACTGTCAGCGCAGAGCTTGACGCGGGGCTCAAACCCACAAACCGTGAGATCATGACCCGAGCCGAAATCAAGAGTGGGGCGCTCAAACCGACTGAGACCCCCAGGCGCCACTAGCCTGGGATTTCTTACCGTTTTGTGTGTGTTGTTCTCTTCATACACCTACCCCTGGGGCCTTCTGGGTCTCACACTATCAGGTGCGGGTCTGTGTCTGTTTGTGTGCAAACCTGCGGCCCCGAGGAATCTGTGTGGCTCTATCCGTGTCGCGGGCCTGCCTGTCACTATGTGTCTTACGTGTACCTCTGCGAGTCGGCATCTGCCTGCGTGTTGACAAGCGCCCGCCTGGGTTTGCGCAGCGCGCCTGTCACTTCTGGCCGCAGGCATGTGGGGGGAAGGAGCTCGGTCTGCCTTTGGGAGCTGTGGGTCTCTGGGTGTCTCTGTTCCTCCAGGTCTCTTCCCTAGGCTCTGGGTCTGGTGTCAGTCGCTCAGATGTCCCGAGCGCACGGATCTCATTTCACGGAGGAGAAGCGGAGGTTCAGAAGGAAAGGCCCCGGGCCAACATCGTTCAGCCGGGCTAGAGCAGGTGGCCAGGCCTGCTCTCCGGTTTTTTTTTTGTTTTTTTTTTTGTCCTTTCCTTATTTGGGGTTTACCTTTCTTGGTTCTTGGTTCTTGCTTGCCCGGTCATTCATTCATTTGTTCGTTAGCATTCGTTCGGAGACCAAAGGCTGTCTGTTTACGTGTTGTGTGATGTCTCCCCCGGTTTCTCTGTGTTCATCTTTCGGTCTCTTAAAAAAAAAATTTTTTTTAACGTTTATTTATTTTTGAGAGGCGGTGGGGAGGGGCAGAGAGAGAGAGGGAGACCCAGAATCCGAAACAGGCTCCAGGATCTGAGCTGTCAGCGCAGAGCCCGACACGGGGCTCGAACCCACGAACTGCGAGATCATGACCTGGGCCGAAGTCGGACGCTTAACCGACTGAGCCCCCCAGGCACCCCCATCTTTCTGTCTCTTAATGTCACCTTTCTGTGGCACCCTGTCCCTAGCCCTGTCTCTGGACTTTGTCTCTTGGCTGTTTTGAAAATTTTACTCATCCTCGGGATGCCTTCCTCTTCTGTGGTCTGCCTTGTGCTTTCTCTCTCATTCTCTCCATTGCTTTGACTCTGTCCCTTGCTCTCTCTGGGCTCTGGGTCTCTCCCTCCTTCTCTTGGGGACTGTGACTCCTTTCTGGGGTCGGCCTTCCCTTTCCCGCCTTTGGATCTCTGGCCTCCCTCCTCCTCCCTGAGTTTCTGCCCCTACCTGCCACCTCGCAGGCCAGGCCCTCTATTTCTGTCGCTGTGCCCGCCCTGCCGCCGCGGCGGCGGGGTGTCGGCCCCCCCCCCCCCCCCCCCCGCCCCCTGCCGTGCTGGCTCGCGTCAGCCGTCCCACCGGCCTCGCTGTCCTGGGCAGGCCGGGGAATTCCTCCTGGTTCCTGGAAAAAACAACTGGGGCCGAGAGAAAGGCCCTCAGTCTCCCCGGGCGCCTGCCCCCCTCCCTCGGGCCTGGGGGTCTCTCCCGGAGTCGGCCGGCCCGAGGCAGGAAGCCCTGCGGTTTCTGGCTTCTCCCAGGCGGCCTCCGGATCTGGCCCCCGCCCCCCCGGCCAACAGCCCAAATATTATTCCGCAGGAGGAGTCGGTGGTGGCGGGAGGAGGCCCAGGCTGAAAGAGGCTTTCAGGGCGGCCAGGCCTGGGGCTTCCTGTCCCCAGGCTTGGGCCTCAGATCGCCCCAGTAGGGACCTCAGGTGGCCGGAGGGGCGGGTGTTGTTGTAGGGTCCTGGGGGGGAGGGTGGGGCCATCCGTCAGGGTGTCTGGTGGCCACCAGCTCGGGCTGGCGTGGGCAGGTGTGACCCCCACCCCAGGGACAGCCGGCTGATGTCCAGCGTGGAAAAGTACCACGGTCAGACGTGGGACGCATGGACAGACATGATGATGCCAGCGATTGGGGATGGAGGGACAGCCGTGGGGACACAGAGAAGCCTGGGCTGGGACAGGTGAAACTGGACAGAGCCTATAGGCCTGAGGTGACATGGTCCAAGGGAGGGGCCCACGGCTGGGGAAAAAGAGGGCCAGGGCAGGGTCCCAGCTGCAGGCAGAGGTCCAATTGTATCGGGAGGCGTGCGATAACCATGACGGAGGGAGTAATCCTGACAATGGCTCCTAGGGGCTTATCACCGGTCAGGTATTATGTGAGCACCTTACAGAATGGATTGGCCTCATCCTTCCCACCACCCCACCCCCATTTTATTCTTGTGGAAACAGAGGCCGGCTGGAAGAGGTGAAGCCACCTGCCCAAGGTCACACGGTTAGTGTAGGGGGGGAGCTAGGCCTTGAACCCAGGCAGTCGGGCCCAGAGTCAGTGCCCTCCACCGCTGTGCTGTCCTAGAGCACAAGAGGGGTGACAGCAAGGTGGGGGGGAACTTGGGGTCCCGACCTGTCCCTCAGAGTCCCCCCACCACCACCATTCCCTACCACAACCTGCACCAGGAGGAGGGAAGCATGTCCAGAAGCCAGCAGTCGGGGTGCATTGCAAGTGTGTGTGTGTGTGTGTGTGTGTGTGTGTGTGTGTGTGTGTAAAGTGTCCCATCTCTATCTTGGTGTGAACATGTCAGGGTCATTACGTGACAGGCTTATGTGTTCCTCATGACATGTGTCTCCGGTCAGCGTATCAGTGTGTGTTGTATGTGCCTGTCTGTCACTGTGTCGTCTCTGTCACTGCTTGTGTTTTGTCATCGTCCCTCCGCGCCTAACAGTGTGCTTGCCCCTCCTCGTATCCCGATGTCCATTACTGTGTGTGTCTGTCACTGCGTCTGTTAACAGTGTGCCTCTGTGACTGGGTCCTATGGGTCTGTTTATGTCTCCGACACTCTGGGTCTGCCTATATCTGTCCCTGTTTGTCACCATGTCTGTTCCCCTATGTGTCACCATCTACCCAGGTGTCACCGCGTTACTCACCACCCAGGCCACAGGTGGGCGTGTCGGGCCCACTGGTGCCAGGGCTGGGGCCCAGCCCATCCCACCCTCGCCTGCTGTGGGCCAGGCTGGGTGCCTGTTTGCAATGCCCGGCCACAGGTAAACACCAAGATCCGGAACCCAAGGGCCACCTCCCTCACCTCTGCTCCCTGTCCCTCAGCCTGCCCCGGACTGGGCTGCGCCAGAGCCCCACGGGCGCTGTCCCCAAACTGGAGACTTGCCCTGACCCTCCCCTCACCCACGGTCACCAGCCTCCCAAGCCCCCAGCCTCGGCCCAGCCCTGTCTCTCTGTCTTCTCTCTCCGTCTGTCTCTCTCTGGCTTGTCCCTTTCTCTGTGGCTCTGCCTTTCTCTGGAATGACCTTTGTCTTCCTTCTGCCACTGTCCCCTCTACTCCATCTTTCTCTGTTCTTTCTCGGTGAAGGTCGATTTCTCCCTTTTCCTGGTCTGTCTCCGTTGGAGTCTGCCTTCTCTCCCTGCCCCTTGGGTCGCTGACTCTCTATCTCTCTCTCTGCCAGTCCTTCTGTTGCTCTTTCAGACTTGAGAAGTTTTTCTCTCTCCTCCTGTCACTGTGTCCTTCTCAGCCCATGTCTCTCGCTCTTGGCCACTCTCTGTGTGTGTCTCTGAGCCCCCAACCCCCACAGGAGCCAGCTTCTGTCATCCTGGGGCCCTTGGGAAAGTGCATGGCCCCCAGCCTCCTGCCCCCAGCCCGCTGGTATATATATATATAAAGGTATATGTACATATTATTTATATCTGTACCCGGGGGCAGGAGGGGCAGACACTGGGGCCTTTGTGTAGCCACTGCCCGCTGCCTGCCCGCCCGCCACTCCTCTCCCTTCGTCCCTGCTACCCGCCCGCCTCCACTCCCCCCCCCCCCCCCCGCA